ACAAACTTAGTGAAAGAGCACGACGATCACAACAACAAAAGGATCAAACAGTGGGGAAGAGCAGACTGTGGGAGGAGCAAAACAGCTGCAAGAGCGGAATAGCTCCAAGAGCCGACTGCAGGAGGAGTGGAAAATGAAGAGACAATGGCACAGATGAGAGAAGACAACCCTGATTTTGTATCCTTTCTTATTCTCCTTGGACCAAACATTTATCTGCCCAAAGAATTGAACCACAGGAGGAACGAAAAGGGACAAAATTAGGATTGTGTTCTCTTATACAACCTGTTACGTCTCCGAGTATGGACCGTAACTAGAATGTTTCCTCACACACTCTCACAAACAAGGAACCATGTAAAATAGCTGAAATAAACCTCTTTTATTGAAAGAAATACTGAATCAAAGAAAATAAACAATAACTGAGAGTAAGATCTCCGTCCATAACCTCTCTTACAAAACTTACAAATCAAAAGCATACTATTAACTCTAGTCTTCCCCTTTATTTATACTAATTAATTCCCTCCCAAAAAGTACTGAATATTAGGAAATAATCCTATTTACTATAATTATCTGATACGAATATATTTAGCCCTATTTACTATATTTAATTTATACTGAATAATATACTAAGATATGGCTTTGTTACTCTAATTATCCTTTGCTGAATATCTTCTCAGAATAACTCTCTTATTACTCTAATTAATTTTCCGTCCATCCTAACTGTTGCGGCAGTTAGCATGCTTCCTCATTGCTTCCACCGTTCGACCTGGTCGCTCCCCCCTCATCTATCGCTCGCCCTGGTCGCTCCTCCTCTTTTACTGGTTGCTCCCCCTTGTCTACTGTTCGACCTGGTCGCTCGCCCTCTTCTACCGCTCGTCCGGGTCACTCCCCCTTGTCTACTGCTCGGCCCGGTCGCTCCCCCTTCTCTATTGGTCGACCAACTCACTCCCCCTCTTCTACTGCTCGTCCTGGTCGCTCCCCTAGTCTACCGCTCGGCTTGGTCGCTCCCCCTCGTCTACCGTTCGGCCAACTCGCTCCCTGCCTTCTACCGTTCGGCCAACTCGCTCCCTGCCTTCTACCGTTCGGCCTGGTCGCTCCCCCTCGTCTACCTCTCGGCCTGGTCACTCCCCCTCGTCTACCATTCGGCCAACTCCTTCTCTCTCTCCCCTATACCTCCTTCTCTCATATACTTTCCAGCCCCTAACACAACCACTATTTTTGAATGTGGTTATTATTAATTACATCTTACATGTTTATATGTCTTATATGTTACATTTTTTAAATGTTTATGAATCTTATGATTCCCGTTACGAAAGGATTCATGATACAAAAAATAAACTCTCTGAAACATAGTTTATATCCCGATTCAACTACTATGTTTGGAAGTTTTATAAGAAATGGAATGAAACAGGTAGAATATACATTTACAATGACATTGATCCATTCCGATAAAAAGTATAAAACAAAAATAAAAGTAAAATAGTGAAATTATTTTTTAAGAAAATTGTAGCTGCTGCTAACATATAGAGGCAGACAAATAATGCCCTTTCACCCTTCTTATACCAATGATCCAAACAAAATTTTATGAGCATATTACCTGCGACATATCAAGACTGCATCCTCCAGACAAAAGTTTTAAAGCGATAGCAGATTCAACCTGCATAAATCAGAATCACTCGTCAAAATGTGAATCCGGGCACCAAGGGAAATAGTTTTTCTTTTCTCAACAGTTTCCCTCGTAAAAGAAACAAAAAATTAATAACTGGTATTAATCACATGCAAAAGTGGCATGCTCGTCATCTTCCAAACATGCACAGAGAGACATCAGAGGACTATAATAAGAAAATCTGTGTCAATACGAGTGCAAATGCGGATACATTGTGTAAAAGCATTAACATCCCAATTATGTAAATCTCAGAACAAATGTCCATCCTTTGTTTGTTTTATGACTAACTTTTAAGATTATTAAAGTAAATATACAAAATAAAACCCCATTAGAACCATTGAATAAACATGGGTATATCCCGAGTATTTATTTTAATGGAAAAGAATTTCAATGAGAAAGTGAGGATAAATACAAAGCGATGACAATAATAAATCCTTCTACACCAAAAAAATATGTAAGAGAAAATAACATAAACTTGAGAATGAGGCATACAGCACAACATGCCAAACTCTACCTACAGCATGTCAATATCTACCAGCCTAATAATAAGAGCAACAGGAACATAGTAATGAAGTCATAAAATGAAAGATCCGGTGAAATTAAAAGCAAAGGAACATATCAAAAATACCACTTGAGTTTGAAATTCTTGCTCTGGTAAAAGTATAGAAGGAGGCAGTGGAATTTGTCTAAAGCAAAATTCTACTCATGCAAACAGAAACTAAGGACTTCCAAAAAAAGAGAAGCTTACACCATCATAATGACTACGAATCGAAAATGGAAATGAGGTTGCTATGGTGCATAACAAATGAACTGCAGCATCCTGCATTCACCACAATTCAAATATTAAAA